TGCTCACCAGGAGCCAGGGCGGGCGACTCGTCCCTGCTGTTGTCTGCTGGTGCCTGGTGCGCCTCAAGAAGGGCTCGCAGGGCTTTCCACCATGGAGAGGTGGGGGGACCGAAACAAGAGCAAGCTAGTGAGCACCTCTAATCCCAGTACTCTGGGAAGCCGAGGCAGGAGGATTCCAAGTTTGAGCACAGTCTGGGCAATTTAGACCCTGTCTCAGAATTTTGGAATACGAATAAAAAGTGCCCTGGAAGTAGCTCAGTGCAAAGGTCTTGGTTTAATCCCCAGAGCCACTCACAAAAACTCTTAATAGGCGCCACACACTGTGCTAGCTCCACCCTCAACAGCCCCAGGGTGCTTGCACCAAGCCACATCCCCAGCCCTTGCGGTATTTTTTGAGACAGGGTCATGCTAAGTTCCTAAGTTGGCCAGACTGTCCTGCCTCAGCCTCCAGAGAGTGGGGTGGCAGCCTGCAGCACCCGCCGGACTCACATTAAACACCCCGAATAGCACGCTTTCTTTGCAACCTTCTTCATTCTGTGCGTGGGGAGTGCCAGCACCCAGGGAGGAGACCAAGCCAGCCTCAGGAAGTCGCCCTCGGGCCTCTGGTCTTACCTTGTGGTGGTGGGCGTGGCTGGGGCTGTCCCAACTGAGGCCCCAGCTGGCCTTGGCCCGGGGACTTTGCTGGCTTGGTCTGTGGAGCCTGGAGTGCAAGAAAAAGGAAGCCTGTGGCGCTGGCTCAGCCAGCTGCTTCCCTGCGGGCGAGCTTCGTTGCTTCGAGGTGAGGTCCACATCAGGGCATGGGGCTCTTGGTGTTTTCTGAGACATTAGCCCAAGCCTGCCACAAATTTGCAGCAATCCTCCTGTCTCAGCCTCCGGTGCGTAGTTCTTAGATGGTAGCCCTGACATTCCCACAGGGCGCTCTGGTAAAGCCAGGCCTTGTGGGGCGAGGGCCTCTGGGGGCACTGCTGTGCTCGGGGTGGGGACTGGAGACACAAAGGACTCCCTTGCCAGGTGCTGGGGTTCCCACGGAGGGTGTGCGCCCTCCCCAGCCCCTCCTTGACCCCTCTCTCTTCCCTCTCTATCACACACACCCCACCCGGCCCAGCTTGGGGACCCAGAAGTGCCACTGGTCGGTCAGCTCTGCCCACAGACACTGAAGGCCAGGTGGGAAGCGCTCAGGCGAGGTCTGCCTCCAGCTCCCACCCCTTTGCCCCAGAGCCTCACCCAGGGCCGCAGCGTGGAGGGCACCGTGGCCCCTGGCACCAGGAGCTGGCTCATCTTGGACACCACAAGGTCGGCCATCAGTTGCCGGTCGTCTTCCACGTGCCCCCCTATCAGGGGCATCGAACTGTCCATGACCTGCAGGGAGGCACCTTGGGGCTCAGGGCGTCCACACAGCTTGGTGGGAGACCGCTAGGTGGCGCTGCGCCCCGTGGGACCTCACCGTGGGGACTCCAGGTTCTCGCAGAGGCTGCAGCAGCTCCCCATGGGTCACCCGGCCTCCCCAGCTGCCGCCCTTTCCTGTCTTCTTCGGGGACCTGTCCCCGCACCCCCTTTCCCATGAGTCCTCAGGGCTTGGGGTCTCCTGTCCTCTGGCCAAGGTCAAGGTGGCCACGGAGTGGGGGAAACAGTAGGGACTCAGCTTTTGGGGCTGGAGGAGTCAGGCTGTCCCTGCCGGCCTTGGGGACCCTGGCCCCACTGGGTGCCGAGTGTGTGTGTGTCTGGGGCCCCAGGGCTCTGAGGATGCACAGAGAAAGCTCCTGGCCCTGGTCCCCTGCCCACCTGTCCTGTCCCAGCCCCAAGTCCCCATGTCCAGCCTTGTCTCCATGTGTGTCACTCTCCGGCCTCTCCAGGCCCACGTGGGAGCTAAGGGGTGAACCCAAGGGCCCGGGGGTGGGGTGGGAGAAGGACGGAGCCGGGCCCGAAGCCCACAGAGCACCAGGGCCGGGGCTGGCACCAGCAAGAGGCCAAGAGGTCGCGTCTGGGCTTCTGGCTTCCAGAAACCTGCAGGGGCACCGCCTGGGAGCTCCACCCCAGGAGCAGCCAGCGCCCCCTGTTCTCACTGCAGTTCCCACCCAACCTGCTTCGGCTGCAGTGACAGCCGCCCTAGCAGAAGGGGGCACAGGAAACTGCCGGCCCGCCCTGGGGGCCCCCTGCTGGAGCCCTAAAAGCTGGAAATTGGTCCTCTGAGGGAGGGCGGTCGCCAGGCAGCCTTGTGCCTTGCAACTTTGCAAAGGTGTAGATAGCCCCTCTACCATGGCTCTGGGGCCTCTGCCTGTCAGGCGTGGTCCACCACCTGACCTCAGCTAGTATCTCTTGTCTTAATTTTCTGAATCTTCCGGCCATTTTCTCCCAGGGGCCACGGAAAGACCAGCAGACCTTACAGCCGGCCACACTTCCAGGAGCCACACACATATCCTGCCCCTCTGCTCTGGCCTCGATGTCACCGTCACCACCACCTACCCAGGAGCTGGTTCAGGGGCTGTTGGGGCCCTGTTTTGTCCTTTGAGGGAGCTGGCTCCTGCTCCCTGGCTGCCCCAAGCCCCCAGGAAGGAGCGCCTCTGTGGCATCTCCAGAGCCAATAACCCCATGCCACCTTTTCTGGGACATTTTTGAGTTGCTTTCCTATGTGCTGTTGTCCAAGCCGCTATGATCATCTCCACCCCCTGGGCCTGGTGAGAGGAGCTGGGCCGAGCAGGCCTCTTCCTTCCTGGGCGTGGGACAGTGGCCTCGCAGAGGCAGTGCTCCTGGGCACGGAGCTGATTCTGGGGTGAGCGTGGCTGCCTGCCCTGGGGTCTGCGCCCGGACGGGCAGCTCAGTAGTGAGGATGACGAGGGGCTCTCCCCAGACAGTGGCCCTCAGCCCCATGTCTCCCATCAGTACACACAGGGCTCTGTCACATGTCCTGTGGTCAGGGTGCACAGGGAGCTGGGGGCAGGGAAGCAGGAGGGAGCAGTGCAGGGGCAGCCCACAGCACGGCCGCCGCTGCGCCGAGGAGCCTCCTGCAGCCGCTTCCCGTGTCTCCACCTCTGTCTCTGCCACCACCAGCAGGGGCTTTCTCCTCTCCTTGCAGCACACCCATCCCTTCACTGCAGTGCCCCCAGGCCACCCAAGCCTAGTCACAGGAGTCCCCGAAGCTCATGTTTGTTGGATGAATGAATAACGGAGTCTCTGCAGAGTGACCAAGGAGGTATGTTTACCCCACACACAGGGCCAGGGCCAATGGGACATCTGAGTCAGCCAGGTGACACCCTCCCCCAGGCCCTGAGGAGGACGCCCTGGACACCCTTATGCCAGGAGCAGGTCCTGCGGGGGGGGGGGGCTCTCGCACCTCGATGATGAAGTCTCTACCATCCTTGCTGTGCACAGCCTTGACCGCACAGATGTCCAGGCCGCCAAACATTTCTGAGCAGCTGTCCACCCACAGTCGGTACCTGAGGAGGGGTGGAGGACAGTGGGTGGGCGGGGACAGCCCAGCGGGCCACACTCAGGCACGCAGTGCGCGCGCCTGCGTGAGGTGTGACGGCTTCCCTAAAGCGTGACTGACGTACAGGACGCAGTGCCAGTCCCTCTTGCTCGGAGCACTCGACCCATCATCCCAGCCCCGGTCTGCGGCAGCTCTGGAGTCTCTTCTCGTGGCTCTAGGAGGTGCAGTCAAAACTACAGTGACTGCTGGGCCAGGGGCCATCCAGCGGAAGGCAGTGCAGCGCTGAGTCCTCGTCCACCCATTGCCTGGGTCTGGGACGAAGGTCAAGACGGCTGCAGAGGGAAAGGCTTTGAATCCGTTCAGCCGGGACAGCACAACCAGACCCTCGGGAGAGAGGACTCCAGAGCTGCTGCAGGAAGTGGCAAGGAGGACGGGAAGGGGCCAGAAGAGAGGGGTGGACCAGGGACGCTCGGCGACACGCGGCTTTTACTGTCGTAAATGTAAAACAGCTAAACATCTCAATTTTTGCAGTGTGATAAAAAGATTACAGTGAATATTTTAGTCTTTTGAAGATTACATATACGGAGGGAGGGGGTGGGAGAGAGCACGGAAAGGCACAGAGCCCCCGAGCCCTGCCCAGCCCCTTCCGGCCCGTCCAGTCACCCAGCCCTTTCCCTTGGGAAAGCTTCTCCCCGGCTGCGACGCCTCCGACCCTCCCAGACTGGAGCCTGCCAGACACCCAGGAGGCCTCGGACAAAGGGTGCATTCTCCCCAGCCTGGGGACCGCCGCCCTGCGGCCTGCTGCTTTTGTTCCCTGTCAGCCATCAGGGGCTGCAAGGCCGCCCGCTTCAGTGGGGACAGAGCCCTAGCTGGGGTGGTTGGTGGTCCCCCTTGGCTGCCCTTGGCTCCCACCCACCTGCCCCACCCCCTCCAACGCCACCCCCCACTCCCGCCAGGCGCGGCTCATCCAGGCCACGTGGAGGATGGGAGAAGAGGCAAGATGCAGACTCCCACCCACGGCGGGTCCCCCTTGGGAGGGCTCCTGCCCCCAACGCCGATGCCCCCTTCCTCTTGCTGAGCTGCACCCGGCCCATCTGGTGCTGCTCGGTGGGGAGTCCAGGCCCCTGGTGCTTGCTCTGCACCCCTCAGGCATGCAGGAGAGCACCCAGGCAGCTTTCCTGATCTGCGCGTCAGGAGGCCACGCTGCCTCAGCTGTGGAGCGTGAGGCCGGCACGCCTGCCCCGTGTGAGCACCTCTGTCACTGCCAGGCGCTCCGTGCGCACTGCCTCCGAGCGTGGCCACCCACGTGCAAGCCAGGCAGGGCCCTCCTTCGTCCCTTCAGTGGTGGGGGGAAGCCACGTTCCCGTGATGGGACAGAACTGGAGACAGCAGATTGTACCAGGAACCAGGCTGCATGGCAACTGGGAGCCCAGTTAGGGGCACCTGGCGGTTTAGGGTCCCCGGAGAGTTCTGTCTCTGTGGGGTCACACTGGACGCTCTGCTTTGGTTGCACAGGGAAGTGGATCCCCAGACCCGTGGGCACTGGGATAGTCGCAGTCAGCCCTGAGGCCAGGAAGCCTGGGGTCAGTTGCAGCAGGGCCAGCGTCCCACGAGCACCTGGGGGAGGGACGGGACTGCCTCTGCCCATGGCCTGTGTCCCTGTAACAGCGCTCCGGAGACAGCGGTGGAGGTGGGGCCGGCTGAGCACGGTGCACAGCGCACAGCTTTTCCTGCGTTGTGCGTGCTGCCTCCGTGCTGCACCTGGGGCGCAGAAAGCTTTGCCAACTGCCCCTGGGGTCGCAGGGCCTGGATCTGACCCTCCTCGTCAGCCACGTGCCAGGTGCTGGGCCCCGAACTGGTGCTGCAGTGCCTACCTGGTCTTTCTTCTCTTCAAGACCCCCTCCTTTTCTTTTCTTTCTTTCTTTCTTTCTTTCTTTCTTTCTTTCTTTCTTTCTTTCTAACTATTGGAATTGAACCCAGGGCCTTTGCATGGATCTGCAGCCTCAGCCCTTTTGTGATTTATTTATTTATTGCTCTTTTTGAGACAGGGTCTCCCTGTGCAGTTCAGGTTGGCTGTGAGCTCACTTTGTAGTCCAGGCTGGTCTTGAACTCGCAACAATCCTCCTGCCTCAGCCTCCTGAATGCAGGGATTACAGGCGTCCACCACCACTCCTGGTCCTTATTTTTTATTTTGAGACAGGGTCTTTCTAAATCTCTAAGTGCCCAGGCCTGGCAGGAACTTCACACTCTCTTGCCTTAGCCTCCCGCCTGAGGACCGGCCAGCCCTATCACAGTGCAGCAGCCTGCTTGGCCACAGGGATTGATCAGGGGTGGTTATGTGACCCAGCCTGGCCAATCAGCGGATGAGGCCGGCAGCAGCTTTGCTCCTGAGGCGCAGGCCTGGAGGCTGAGAAGCTGGAGTCACTGGTGTAAACCAAGCGGGCGAGGGACTAGGGGTCGCCAGTGGCCTTGCTTCCTGGCCTCAGCCGGCCCCAAATTGGGGACGGGGCTCTCTCCCCGCACCTTCCTCCCAGCCTCCCTCCTCTGGGGCTCCTACCCATCCCCCTCTGCTCCCTCCTCTCCCGCCCCCTCCCTCCCCCCAAGCTTCTTCCTCCCAGGCTCCCTCCTCCCCAGGCTTGCCCCCGCCCTTCCCGGGCTCCTCTCCTCCCCAGCCCATCCCGCATCCCCACTGCCCGCCGGTGTGTCTCTTACCGCTCGGTCATGGCCACCTGCTCCAGCATGGCGGAGCCCGTGTTGGCCTTCCAGTTCCCCGAGATGGACGTCCTCCTGTGGCAGAGCACAGCATTAGGGACGTCCTGGCCGCCGGCCGCTGCCTTCTCCACGCTGGCCCTGAGGCCCGGGGCATGGTGTCCGCCCGAGCTGTGGCGGCTCTGGGTGCCCCACTGCCCCTTGTTTTCCTGCTCTTGTCCTCCCCGGGGTGACCTAGCCTGCTTGCTGGATCTTAGGTTTTATTGCCTATGCCACTCTTTTATTTTCTGTTTGATTTATTTATCTTTGCGGTACTGGGGATCGAACTTGAGAACTTGCGCTTGCCAGGCAGGCACTTGTGCCGCTGAACTATCTCCCCAGCCCTATTGTTTTTTTTTTTTTTTTTTAAATTATTTATTGGATACAAGGTCTGACTATGCAGCTCAGACTTGTGATCTTCCTGTCTTGGACTCCCCAGAGCTGGGATTACAGTTGTGCCCCTCCACGCCCGGTTGTGGTGTTGCACGGCGTGCCCAGGTTCCGAGGCCCGCAAGGCATGTGGTGCCAGGGATTGAACTCAGGTCGGGTCCTTGCCCTTGCCAGGCATCTGAGTTATCTTCCCAGCCCAACCTATACCATTTTTTTTTATAGTTAAAGATTATTTCTAAACATTCTGACATCTGAGAAAATCAAGCCAGCCTTGGTGTTAGGCCATACCCTGAGGGGACCTTGCTGGAGGTTGGGTCTACAGTTCTGCACCGCTTGAGAGGCATGGCAGGGGGAGGGGCAGGTCACTCGGAGGGGACAGGTACTCCCTCCCTTCTCTTCCATCTCTTCTTGGCATCCTGGCTGTCGGAGGAAAGCGGGCTCCTTCCCCACACCTGGCCCTAATGTCCTGGGCTGCCGGAAGCCCAGTGGATCCAGAGGCTGAAAGTTCTGAAACTATAAGCCCAAATCAACCTTTCTGGTTCATAAGTCATCTCATCTAGGTGTTTTATGAGAGCAACAAAAGGCTGGCTTACACACTAGACCTCTTGTCTTGAAGCAGAACCAGGGCAGTGTCCTCCCTGATGATTCTGGGATTTTTGCAGACCCTGAAGTGCAGGGTCAGGAGAGGAGTGGTGAGTCTGCCCTCTGTGAGGGGCAGGCAGGCCATCAGCTGGTGCCTGTCTGCCTGTCTCCCTGCCCCTGCCCCTCTGCCCTGCTTGTAGGGGTTCTGCTTGGGCAGTGGCTGCGACCTCCAGTCCTTGCCCCACCTGTGGGCCCTGCCGCCATCTTTGTCTCCATCTTCAGGTCCTGCCACCTTGCAGCCCCATCTGAAGTGCGGAGCTGCCTTTCCCCTGCTGAGTGAGGAGTGCCCTGGGGTCCTGTCTTTCCCGAGGGGCTGCTGAGTTTCCTCTGGGGACCATGGGGGAGCGCAGGCCCAGAGTCCCAGGACTGCTTCTTGCCTGGAGGACCAGGTGGCCTCAGAGCTGGAGGATGGCCCCAGGGTAAGCAGCCACAGGGCTGAAGGATTGTGGGACCTAGGGAGGAAACAGGGTCACCGGACAAGACCCCAAGGAAGCCACCTGCTGAGCAGGACAATGAAACCTCACCATGACAGAGGGGTGGGACTGCGAGTTTGATACCGGTTCTACCTCTTGCTGGCAGCGTAACCATGGCAACCTCTCCTGTCTCTTCCGTGGTAAAATGGGAACAACTGCGGCCCCATACTCCTTAGGGCTTCTTGTGCTCCAGGAGGGAAATGATCCCATAAATCTCCTAGCACAATGGGCGCTCCTATTATTTTGAGCAAATGGAGACAGGAAGAGCTGGTGTCCCGGCCGAGGCCACAGGGACACAGGGGGACGATGACATAAGCGTAGATGTGCAGCCCGAGCTTGCTAGGTCAGGAGGCAGGTCCTGGGTGTTCCCAGCACTGCTCACTCCAGCCTCGCAAGACTTGCTGAGCGGAGTGCTGGTATTACTATGTTCCTGCTCAGAGCCAGGTGCCCCCAAACCATGTCTCAGCCCTAGCTGTCAGCCTGGGCTCCCTTTGGACAGGCTTGTTATGGACAAGCCTGCGGGCCATGGTGGATTGGGGATGGCTTCTGGCCACGGCCTGAAGGTGTGTCCCCTGCTGGGGTGGAGGACGGGAAAAATCACCTTGTTGTAAGTTCCTCAGTCTTGGACTATTGCATCAAAATGCCACAAAGTGGGTGGCTCAGACAGCACACAGGTAGCCGGACGCCGTGGCACACGCCTGGCATCCCAGCTATTCGGGAGGCTGAGGTAGTAACGCAGAAAGTTCATGCCAGTCCGAGAGACTGTCTCAGAGTTAAAAAGGAGGAGCTGAGAGGTGCAGCTCAGCGCTGCTGGGTTCCATCCCCCACGCCGCTGCTCAGCAGCAGCACCCAGCCGGGAAGCTCAGCTTGGGCAGGAGTCGGGGGCATTGGCTGGTGCGGCCCTCTTTAGCGTAGTACGAGATGGGCAGACGTGAGAGATGGAATTGTGGTTGCGTGTGCACGCGTGGCCCGGGATGCACATGCGTCTTCTCACTGTGTCTGCTTGGAGAACCTGAAATGGCAGGCGTGGCGTGCAGAAACTGGCCAGGCAGGAAGTGGCCAGGGCAGGAGCCGTGCTGTCCATGGAGCCCTCCCTGGTGTGCGCCATTCTGGGGTGCAGGAAACTGTGACTGATGACAAATTGCAGCTGTTGGGTCAAAGAGGCTCCACATGAAGCATGAGGCGATGAGGTAATTTGCAAGAAAAGAACTGGGACAAGGTGTCGCCAATGTCAAGGGGACTCGAACAAGGAGGAGAGGAGGGAAATGATATCATGCTGGCTGGCACATGTCACGGCTGAGGGGCAGCAGGAGGGGTCTGGGCACCCGGGGTCCGGGAGCTTGGAGTCAGCACGCTGGCCTCTGCACAGAAGAGGTGCTGGATGGTGAGTCCTGAGAACCAGCGCTCGCCTTCTGCTCCTGCTCCGTCCCTGGCCTCTAATCCAGCCGCCAGGCACTGGCTGAGAGTGGCCACTCAGTCTGTGTTGTCCTCAAAGCTTGAAGTCACCTCCTATTCTGTAGAAGATGCGGCTCAGGTAGTGCAGGAGTGACCAGAGGCCACAGGCTGGACAAGCACAGCGTGACCAACGTGACCTTCTCAGGAGCGGGGGGCAGGGCTTCTGGGCCCGCACCGTATAGCCCTGAGTGTGTGCAGGAGACTCTGCCCTGCTAGGCCTCCAGGTGCTGCAGCGCACACTGCAGGCTGCCCAGGGTCTGTGTCAGTGGGCAGCAGTGGCAGCTTCCCCAGAGGCCAGGGGCAGGTGCAGCCTCCGCACAGGCCGGTACCTCGGCTTCTTCCAGCTTGATGACCTATGCCCCTGGTGAGCCCCAGCACCAGGAGTGATGGGCCATCCTCTCTGGGCTCCTTGCCTCTGCCTTTCCCTAGCCACACTCCCTCCCATGGGATCTGGATCTCAGGAGAAGCACTGTGGACACTCGGGTGGATCCTTGCCCAGTGGCCATGCCTTGACAGTCCGTTGCTAGTGGCCATGAGGATTCCTGGGGCTGCCCAGGGCCTGTGTCTCTGACACTGATGTCTACGTGGGGTTGGTTGATTCGTGTTTGAAGCTTCTGATTGCCTGTGGTTTTCTGATAAATTCTCTTAAATGAAAACCCATGAAACTGTCACCTGGGCTTTCTGCTGCCCGCAGCCTGAGAGCCCTGGTATGACCTCCTGGGTGGCACTTTCTTTCCTTCGTTTTCTGGTGTGGGGCTCGAGCCCAGTGTGCTTCATTAGGCGCTGCATGCCCCCGACTCGGCATGCTGAGGGCTGGCATGGCAGGCGCGTCCCAGGCTGGCGCCAGACTTGGTGCCCTCCTGCCTCAGCCTCTGAAGCAGCTTGAACCAGAGGTGTGTGCTTCCATGGCCAGCTTCTAGCTGGCTCTATCGGTTCCAGAGAAGCCCACTGCAGTGAACTGCTTTGCTGTATTTTTCCCTATACTCATTATTGAACCAGGCCCTTCACACTGAGCTATAGAATTTTTTATTTTGAGACAGGGTCACCTAAATTGCTAAGTTGCCCTCCGCCTCCCGCAGCACTGGGATTAGGGGCACGTGCCACTGTGGTCACCTCAGAGCTCTCTTCTCCGAGGCGCAGAGTCATCAGGCTGGCTGCAGCAAGCCTGCAGGCCTCCCCACTTGTCCCACAGTGAGCCCAGTGTCCTCCCTGGGAAGCAGCCCCCTTGGTGTTAGCGCTCGGCCCTGATGGGCTGAGGCTGGACGTGAACCGCGGGGTCCTGCCGCAGAGCGAGGCGGCAGGGGGCAGCACGGCGCGCGGGGAGGCCGCGGCCAGATGGGGGCTGGCATCGCTAGTTTCCGTCTTGCCCTCCCTCCCGCTGCCTGGCGGCCTGGGACTCACATGTAGGCCTTGTAGTTAGACCCGATCTTCTGGATGCACACGTCGTACTTGGAGTCGATGAAGGCCTCGGTGGTGGCATAGGTCTTGGCCATGGCCACCACGCTGGTGATGTCCTGGTAGTCGAGCTGGTTCTCCACTTTGATCTGTGTCAGAGGAAGAGGGGGTGAGTGTCCCTTGCCTTCTGCAGCAGGATGCAGTGGTTGTGCAAGGTGGACGCTGTGAGGTTTCCTGCATGTGTGAGGGGTGTGAGCGCAGTGTCTGCGTGCACTGTGCGTGTGCCGTGTGGTGTGCATCTGCAGTGCATGGAGTGGTGTATCGTGCATGGTACAGTGTGTACAGTGTGCACATGCAGTTTGTGTAACACATGCAGGGTGTGTGCAGCGTGTGGTGTGCATCTGTAGTGTGTGTGTGCAGTGTGTGCGTCTACACGCACAGGCGGGCCTGCGGTGCTGGCCCAAGGCCGGGGTGAAGTGGGCACACATCTGTCCTGGGCAGGGCAGTAGCCCCGCTGCAGCCTGCACACAGCAGTGGGGCGTCCAGGCCCGACAGTGCTCGCAAGGCTTGGAGGGGTGGACTCCAGCGCTGTGGGCAGCTGGGACTCTGGGGACCTGCGTCTCGGAGAGGTTGCAGGCTCTGCCGGCCCCATCTGCTGAGGGCTCAAGGGCAGCGAGCTGCGGGCTGCAGGATCCCCAGTTTCCTGCCCCAGCCCCCAGCCCTGGCCCCTCATGGAGTCCTGGCCCCGATGTCTGCATCTCTGGGGTCACTGCTGCCACCACCAGTGCCCCACGGAGCGACCGGTAGAGATCCTCCTTGCCCTCAGGGTCTCACCACAGGCTCTGGGGGCAGGGAGGTAGGGGCTGAGGCAGGGACAGACAGGCCTGTGACAGTCACTTCAGTCAGGAAGTGAAGATCTGAAGACCTGTCCCGGGCCCCAGGGGCAGAGGCACCAAGCAGGGGCGGGGCTGGTGCACTGCCCTCAGTAGCCCTGCTGCCTGGACCGGGCAGACCACGGCTGACCACGGAGCTGTGCCCTCCTGCCCAGGTGGCCCCTCCTCCTGTGTGAAGCCCACCCCGCCTGCTCAGAAGGCACAGTGGCAGCCGTGGTTAGGAGCCAAGTGTCCTCCTGCTCCATGGAGCCGAGGCCACAGGCTGCCAAGCTGGTGGGGCCCAGAGGCCCCGACTCGGAGGGTAGCTCAGCAGGGTGTCACGGCAGGGACTGGCTAGGACAGGTAGCACTAGGCCCTGTGTGTACAGGACAACCCCTTCCGAGCAGTTCTGCACCGCCCTGCATATGTGCTGCTTCAGGTTTGGCCACTGTGTCTTTAGCACAGGGTTAGAAGCAGCATTGCTGTTGCCTAGCTTTTAAGTGAGCTTCGTATTGTATGTGGGCGTCACGGGTCCTTTGTAGGACAAGTGCATAGATACAGAAATAGTGTGGGAGCTCATCTCGCGTCCGGGGTGGGGCCCAGGGTCTGGCGCCCACTGAATGGGCAGTGATTGCAGAGCAGTAAGTGATGAATGAATAAAGGAAGTTAATTGTCCTCTGCGGGCTCCCACGACAGCGGTGCTGGTGCTGCGCGCCCGCCTGTGGGCCTGGGGCTGCTCCGTTGGGCGCGTGGACTTCAGGCTGGGGGTTGGTCATGGTACAGACCACGGCTGAGTGGCAAGGACTGCGCCAGCCGGGGAGGGGCAGCCTGAGGACCGGAAAGGACCACGTGTCAGTGGGTTGGAATAGACCAGCACGTTAATCATCTGTGACTTTGCAAAAGGTCACCGGTCACCTCTGAGGGATGCTAAGACTCCATCTGCTCATTCAGAAAAGGGGCCAGGCATAGTGTCCATGTCCGTGGTCCTAGCACCTGGGAGCCTGAGGCAGGAGGACTGCTGTGAGTTCAAGGCTACCCCGGGCTGCACAGTGAGTCTAAGGCCAGCATGCAGTAAGACCTTGCCTCAAGTTTGTTTGTTCGTTCTCGGACTCACAGTGATCCTCCTGTTTTCAGCCTCCCAAGTGCTGAGATTACAGGTGCACCTACCACGCCCAGTCTCAATCACCATCTCAGCGCACCTCGGGGGCAGCACCAGCATGGGGGGATCAAACCCTGGCCACTGCCTTCTGCCTAAGCAGGCGCTTTAGTCCACTGAGCTGTCTGGCGGGCCCCCTTTTTCTCTTCTTAATTTCTTATATCTTCCTTCTAATTTTGCATGCATATATCTAGTAATATTAATAACTGGAAGACAACACTATGCACTACCACAAATACTGTGAAATTCATACTACTTTGTTAAGTGAAATTCTGATTTACTTGTAATTTTTGTTTCAATACTATTTTGTACTCTTTTAAAAATAAAAAAAAAAATGCCAGGGAGATGGCTCAGTGGAATAAGCACTCGCCTGGCAAGCTCAAGGACCTGAGTTCAATCCCCGATTCCGCATTAAAAAAAGAAAAATAAAAAAAAAATAAAAAAAAAGACCTTGACTCAAAAAAAAAAAAAAAAAAATCCTCCAAACCTCAAGTGTAAATAAGAAGATGAAGAACTGTCTTCATTTTTTGATAAATTTCAGCTAACAAAATAGAGGTGTTGGGCCAGTGAGATAGTGGATTAAGCACCTGCTTAGGCAAGCACTGGGACTGGGATTCAATCCCTGGCACCACAGGTTGCACCAGCCCTGCCCTGGGCACACGAAGCTGGCCACCGAAATCTGATGTGGTGGTGCACGCCTGTAATCCCAGAACTGGGGAGGCTGAAAACAGGAGGATCACTACAAGTCCCAATTATGTAGTGAGGCCCTGTGCCAAATACAAAACAGAGGTGTAAGAGAGCGTCACCCTCTGAAGCCTCTAGACCCAGGAGGGGCCCGTGCTGCAGCCACCACTGCTGAGTCCAGGGGAGAGGCAGGGCTGGGACGGCCACTGGGGGCATGGCAGATGGCCCTGACCCTGACAGCAGTCTTCACATCAGAAGAACCCACCAGACAGACTGGGGTGCAGGGGTGACAGGAAACCCCAACACTCACTGGGGTGCCCTGGCCACAGCTCAGCCTGGATGGCTCAGACTTGGTGACCCCCTTTTCTCTCTGTCACAGGAAATGAGGCCACAGTGTGGCAGCAGGGAGCGGCCGTCAGCCCTCTGTGGAGTGCGGAGGAAAAGCCACCTGGTGTCCCCAGATAAAGGCCAGGAGACACACGTGGCCTGCACGGAGGAGGCCTGTCACAGGTGGAAAGGTCCGTGTGGACCTGGCCGTGTGAACTACAGGTTCTGTCTGCATGCTGTGAGAAGTGCTCAGTGTGCGGCGGAGGTGGAGCACAGACCGCCCTGGAGAGGCAGGGACGGTGTGATAATGACAGGGAGGTAAACAGAAAAGCAGCTCTGGTGTGTTAGACATGGCCGCTGAGATACCCGTGAGTGTGCTGAGGTGCCAGGGTTTGCCTCAGAACAAGCAGTGACACAGAGAACTGGTTGCCAGCACCCGGGGGGCGCAGGACACCAACACGGCTATGGGTGGGCGGCCAGAAACCTTGGATGTCACCTCATGAGGATGCTAAAATCCTGAACTGCTTCCTTTAGAGGAAGGGGGAGTTTTATGAGACTCAGCCCCCACATTTAAAAAAATGATAAAAGGGCCCAGTGGAGGCGGGAAGTGTGGGGGCGGCCAGTGGCAGCGCCCTGCACCTGGCACGTGGCTTCCAGCCCCCATTTTCTCTTCTTTGGTGCATATTTGAACATTTCCATCGTAAAGGGTTAAACACAAGCTGGACAAGCTGGGTGAGGCCGTGAAATTGCGCTTTGCAGGAGGCGAAGGTGCGCGCCATAATTCGGGCGAGGTCGTGACCCCTTTTTGTGTCCACAACAGAAATGGGGAGCACGATCCAGCATCTTTAAGAGGAAAAGGACCAGTGTCTGGGTGACTTACGGCTGTCCTCGCAACCAAGTCGGGGTGACATTGTCCCGAGCTCCCCCGGTGGCCAGAGTGACGCGTGGTCAGCCCGACAGCGCGCTGCAAGGCCCGGGTGGCTCTTGGGCCCTCGCACGGGGTGGGCGCACGCCTTGGTCCGCGCCAGCTGCACAGTAAACCCTCACAGCTGAGGGGCTTGTGCAGCAGGCCCTTGGGCTCACGGTCCGGCCCCGGGCGTCTGACGACAGGGCGCTGGCATGACCCTGTCTTTCTGTCCCTGAGACACAACACTGAGGCCCGGCACTGAAAGGAGCAGAGGCTTAGCTTGGCTCACGTTTTCAGCCGGAGTTTGGCCCGCTGGACGCAGAGGGCACAAGCAGCGTCGGGGGCAGGAGAGTAATGGCCCCAAGGCAGGGGCACAAAGCAGAGATGGGAGGAGCCGGGGCCAAGAACACGGCACGCCCAGGCCCCGCCCGCTGCAGCACTTGGGGTGGGGTGGGGTGGGGGGTGTACCTCCACCTCCACCTCCCGACCCAGTCGCTCCGCACGCACCAGGGACTTTGTTTCCAACCATTGCGGGTGCGTTTGGGTCCAAAGTGTGAGCTCTCTGATGTTGCTTCTTTCAAGGCCACGAAGCCCATCGCGAGGGTCCCCCTCTAGTCTCTTCTAAGCTCCCCATATCGTCGTGGTGGGTTGAAGGCAGGCTTGGCCGTGTACACCTGCGGGCCGGGCGCAGTCCCTCGCGTGGAGCGCATTTTCCTGTCCTCTGCATAAAGCAGGGTTCAGGGTTCAGAGAAAGCAGTGTGCAGATGCCCGTAAGATCAAATACAGCGATCATTTTGATCCATTCTTACAGCTTTTTTCTCTTTTTTGGTTGAAAAAATTACATCCGTTCACAGCAAAAAGAGGCCTAAGATCTCAAAAGGAAATCTGGGGAAAAATGAAAGTTTCCCGGCCTTTCACCCAAGCCTCCCAAAGCGTCCTGCAAGCAGGCTCAGGTAGGGGTGCGAAGTGGGGCCCATCTGGTCTCCAAGCAGAGGCAAGAAGACAAAGGTCCCTTTTTCCCAGTGTGCGGTGACAGAGCCGGCCAGCCACAGCGGAGGGGCGTCGCTACGTGGGTACAGCGGGCCAGGCAGCTGGCAGTGCAGGCCTAGAGGTGGTTTGTCTGCAGGGAGCTGGTGCTCTGGTGCCCCTGGGCTTCTCTGGACATGCACCATGACAGGTTCTGAGTAGCAAGTGGGGCCTGGC